CAGGACCAGGGAATTTGCATTTATACAAGTTCCAAGGTGATCCTCCTACAGCTGCACCTGAGAAACCACTGACCCCAAGTGTTTGGACTGCTAGCAGATTTTGAAACTGTGAGGCACTCTTAGGAGGTGGATCAAAAAAAGCAGAGAAAACAAGTCATGCCTGAAGATCCACGTTGTTCTTTTGACTCTGAAGCCTGGGGACTGACCAGACTTAAGATGCTATTGCTGAGACAAGCAGTTAGCATAATGGCTATGTAATGGCTGAACTCCCATATAGTCAACCACGGTTCAAGTCCCGGACCTGGTGGCTTAAACTCACACTGGGCACGTGTGTGTGCGTGCCCAAAATCCCAAGCGGAGAATGGAGAAGGGATTGCGGCATGGCCATCCCCCTGGGGGGGGATTTCTCGCTTTCTGACTCTGTCTCTCTGGCGAGCACATGCACCCTATAGCAAAAAACCTCTCCAAAAAAAAAAAAAAATGCTATTGCCACATTTTCAATTGGAGCGGGATATCTCATCTCTACTTTTTTGTGTGTCATGTTTATGCCCAGCCATGGTTGAGAATGTCTAGAAGAATCTAGAACTATCTCCCAAAGTAAGCTGACCCATGTTACCAAATGTGCTGGCTGTTCCTTGGGGATGTTGCAATCGGATGGATGGGCTGTAGACTTGACTGCCCTCTGGGCCACCGTTTTTCTTCTTCCCATCTATTTTTGGATCTCTGACTGGGGGCCCATAAATAAGACTAACAAGAGAAAGATGAACAAGGGAAAAACAAGTTTATAAAGGTACATAGCACATATCACCCAGAAGAAATCTTGGCCTTGAGTAACTCAAAAGGGGGTGGTTAGATCTTAGACTTAATTAGCATCTTAAAAAAAATTACAGAAAAGTGACAAGACAACAGAAAAGTTTCAGGACAGCAAAGTGTGGAACAATTTGGACGGAGAAGGGTTATTTTAGTAGGGGTTGTGTGCAAGCCCCTCTTGAAGCTTTCTGTCTTTTGTGGCCATAATAAAACACCCCTGGGAGAAGGGTTTATGACAGTCCTTAACTGTCAAGTGGATTTACCTTTAGTCAGATAAGAATAAACTCTTTTTTTCTCCATGTGCTGACTGTTATTTGTCTCCAGCTCAAAATAGTCTTTATACTGTAAAGGATATGGTTTTTGCTTTTGTTTTGTTTTATTGAGTCATCAGAAGTTATGATGCATTTTTTAATAGAAAACCAGAAAAATATAACTTTTCCAATGACCCAGTATTTTGCTAGGGGCTTGTGCACTCAGCACAGAGAGAGGAAGAGGAGAAAGACCCTGCCCCACTCATGGGGCATGGTCACACCACAATTCCTTCTCTTCCATCTCTCCCTCCTTTGGGGATTTTTGGCACACACTTGCCCACCATGTTTCTCAAGTTGTGAGGGCTGGGACTAAAACCACAATAGTTGGCCATTGGGGTGTGACTGCCTTAACTACCAGGCCACAGAGCTGGCCTGAGGAGGTAAAATTTCACTTCTACCCATTCAATTCTCCGGCTGATTCAGAGAATTAAACAGGACAGGTGAACAGGAAAAAAGCATAGACATTTATAGACATTTATTTGATAGAAGTTTTATGACATGGGAACTCTTCCTAAGGAAATGAAGACCCAAAGAAGGATGTCAGTCAAATACTTACATACTGAGTTGGACAGAGTAAACTGTGAAAGTGATAAAACAAAGGGACCAGGGTAGTTAACAGGGTAAAGTGACTAAGATGGCTAAAGGTTAGTTTAACAAAGTTTGTTTATATAGATTTCTCTTGGTTTCAACCTTTCATCTTGGTAGTAAAAGTGTTACTTTTTCTCCTGGGATAGGGAGAACATCTTTCATATGGTAGGACATCTTTCCCTTTCTGCTTTTAGGAAGAGTGATTCTTACAACTGCAAACTGTCCTTAGTTCAAAATAATCCTATGCTAAAGTGGTATATTTTAGGGTGGTATAATTTCATCCCTTACCCTTTCTTAGGAGGGTGTCTGGGGGAGACAGAACTTCAGAGAGTATGGTCCAGATTTGAGTGGGAATCACTGACCCCTATATCCCGTGGTTTGTGCATCCCACAGCTAAAGTTGGAGGAGGACATGAAATACCTTCGGGAGGAAATGATGAAGACAGAAAATCTGCAGGCCAAGGAGGAGCAGACCTTAGCTGAGTGGCAGGTAGGTGCCAAGGGCCATCAGGGTCCCCTGAAAGCCCATTTTAGGCCCCTGTCACAACTTCTAAGCCTCCCTACCATAGTCTCCAACACAGGGAGCTGCAGGAGAGGAAGAAAAAAGTTCCTTCTACCTTTGTATGTTCAGTGGTTGGTCTAACAAACTGACATGAGACAGATGAACAGAAGAGAAAAAAAGCTTACCCCTCGTCACACTCAGAAAACCAACAACTGGCAGGACCAGCAGTTAGCATAATGGCTTGTCGCTGGACTCCCATGTAGTCGACTGTAGTTCACGTCCCAGACCGGGTGGCTTAAAACTCACGCCGGGTGCGTGTGCGTGCGTGCCCAAGATCCCGAGAGGAGAACAGAGGAGAAGGGATGGCAGCGTGGCCATCCCCCCTGGGGGGTGATTTCTCGCTTTCTCTTTATCTCTGTCTGTCTGGCAAGTGCACGCGCCCTATAGCAAAAACCTCTCCAAAAAAAGGAAAAAGAAAACCAACAACTGGCCAGGGTTGGGAGCTAGAGCTGGGACAAGGGGCTGCACTTTGCTGTTGTGGTACAATCCACTGAGCCCAAATGACAAACATCCGATCATCCATGTGTCTGCACTCTGACAGGGGTCAAGATGCGCCCCTCCAAAATATGCTAGTTGGGCATGTTAAACAGGAGTTATTAGAAGACACTGTTTTGGACGGAGCTACTCTAGGCCCCAGTAGACCAAAGCACAATGGGATCACTGTGGGTGACCAGGGTACCAACACCCACATCTCTGGTGTCCAGCTACCCCTCCCAGGGGCCTTGCCTCACATCTGGGTGGGTCCTCACTCCTCCTGCAGGACAAGGTGAAGGAGCGGAGAGAGCGCATCATGGCGGAGTTTGAGAAGATGGGCCTCTTCCTGATGGAGGAAGAACGAAGGCTCCTCCAAGCCCTGAAGAAGGAGGAAGACAAGATAATGGCAGGGCTGCAGGAGAGCAAGACCTCCCTGGAACAACAGAGCCACTCTCTGGAGATGCTGCTGCTGCAGATGGAGGACAGACATGAGCGGGAGCCCCTTCGGATGCTGCAGGTGGGGCTGGAGAGCAGTGACAGCCCAGAGGGGACTGCAGATCCTTTGGGGGTCATGTGCCAGCTGCTCACCACAGTACACCTGTTTAAACTGCAGTGGGATGGGGGTGTGGCATGAGAATGTGAGCCGCCCGAAGTGGGAACAAATGCACCCCAAACAAGAAGGGCACTGCCTAGCACAGGCTGGAGCTGTCATAATAAACTACAAACCAAGTGGCTTAAACAACAGGAATTTACTCTCTCACAGTCCTAGAGGCTGGGAGTCCCAGATCAAGGTTGGCAGGGTTGGTTCCTTCTGCAGTCTCTCTCCTTGGCTTATAGATGGTACCTTCTCCTTGTGTCTTCACAGGATGGTCCCTCTGTGAATTTATGTCTTAATCTCTCCTTATAAAACACTAGTCCTATTGGACAGGGCCCGCCTCAACTCACTTAACCTTCAATTACCTCTTCAAAGACACCATCTCCAAATATGGTCACATTCTGAGGTCCTGAGGGTCCTATGTATTTGGAAGAGGTGTGGAGAGAGGTAGTGAGACACACTCAAGTCAGTCCCTAGCAGGCTTCAACCCCAGAGACTGTGTCTTCCATTCCCCTCCAAGTGACCTGAAGACACTTGGCATCCACATGGGGATTCAGGGCAGGGACTTGCTGACACAGTGAGGATGACAGTTCCAATTTTATGTCTGTGATACTGAAATTCTGTGGGGTTCATTGTCAATAGATTTACTAGTTGCCCTAACGTTGGGTAACAGTTTATCTTCTATTAAAAAGCAGCCTGAGGCTAGTCCAATAGCTTGTGGTTAAGGAGCTGGGTCTCACAAAGCCAACCTTGGTTCAAATTCTGGCCCCAGTGGCTCGAAAAACACACTGGGTGCATATGCATGTGACCCCAAAATCTTGATGGGAAAGAGGAGTGGAGGGAAAAGAACTGTCAATACACCCCACTGAGAGTGCTTTATCTCTTTCTCTTTCTGGTGACATGTGCCCTCTGGCAATGAAAAAAATATGGGTAAAATAAAACACATAGGATTATGAAGGAAATAAAATTGAAGGAAAAAAGCAGCTTGTTCATAGCCCATTAATTTGGTTTTCTGAACCACTGGAGGGAAAAGCCCCATTTAGCTTCCCCATACCCCTAACTTGGGCATGGGAACCCTCAAAGGCTGGTTGATGTGAGCTTTCATAGGTATGAGACCACAGAAGATTCTCTGCATGAGACTCTTAAGTTTATACTTAAGATTATACTCTGGGGCCAGCAGACGGCATAGTGGTTACATCTCTGGCCTCGCACATGGGCAACTGCAGTTCGAGTCCCAAACCTGGTGACTTGAATTCACACTGGGTATGTGTGCATGTGTGCCAAGATCTTGGGAGGAAAAAGAAGAAGGGATTTCAGTGTGACCATCCCCCCAGGGGGGTGATTTCTCGCATGCCCTATCTTTCTCACATTCACTATCTCTGTCTCTCTGTCCAGCGAGCACACAAGCCCTAAGGCAAAAATATCTATATAAAAAAATTATGCTCTCAAAACTAAAAGTATAGCCATTGGAAAACATAAATCTCTTGTAGTTTTCCAGGCCAGAGATGCTCACAATGGTGCTTGGAAACTCTACAGATTTCCATAGAAGCTCCAGAACAATCCTCAGCTGCTTGGGCTGTTACATCTTCTCTCCCTCCCTACACCTCTCTGGGTGAGTCTACACCCAAGAGGAGAGAGAAGAGGCTTGGACTCTATGGTTCATTTGCCAAAAAGGGCTGGGCAGAGTTCCCCAGGTCTTTCATCCTCCTCGCTACTGAACAGTTGGGCTTCAGATGTCTGACTTTGGCTAAGAGGATGGTTTGGACTTAGCTTAAGCACCAGGATCTCTTCAGTGGGAGTGAGAGCCTGGGGTAGTGGTGGGGGAGGGGAAGTTCAGGAGTGCCTGGGAGAGGATGGAGCTCCATTTTTAGGGATGAAATGACAACAGAAAGGATTGGTTGTTCCCTAAGAACTGGATAAGATGAAAACAGCAAAAAGAATCATACTGATGGGACCAGCAAGTGGCATGGTGGTTAAGGGCGCTAGACTCCCACATGGCCAACCATGGTTTGGGTCCCGGACCTGGTGGCTTTCTTTCTCACTTTCCCCCCTCTCTCTGTCTCTCTGTTTCTCTCTGGTCAAATTGGAAAATAATAATAAATAAAGTTAAAATAAAATAATTTAAAAAAAGAATAATAGTGAGGGGTGTGGGGAGCCAAGAGCTTGGCCCATTTCCCACTCTTCCTCCTTGTCTTTTACAGGATATGAAGAACCCCTTGGGCAGGTATGTGGTTACTTAAGATAGAGTGGAGATGGGTGAGGAAGGGCTCCATGCAGGGATGGAGGGGACAATGAGACTGTGTCCACTGGAGGAAGAACAGCGTGAGTGTGCAGTACCCAGAGGCCAACCTCCCCACCGTGCTCAGAACTGTGTGCAGGGTTCCTGGGCAGATAGAGGTGCTCAAAGGTTTCCAAGGTAAGTGGGGACCCCAAATTTGGCCATCTGACCCCGGATTCTCTCTGTAGTGCATCACTCCACCTCTAGCCCCAGTATCCACAAGGAGGTCTGGAGCCACAAAAGGGGATTCCCAAACTGTATTGCCCAATGCTTAATCTTCATGGGATCGTCAATACTATGTCTTTACAGTAGTTCCACTTGTGGGATGAAGCTTGTTGAGCTGCCCAAATGATCCCTCTGTCCTGCCTGTTTCTTTATCACCATTAATATCTATACACAGTTGGGGTGTGGGTCCATTAGGTTACCCCACATTCACAGTTGGATTCAGTGGAGGGAAGGGGCGCTAGACTCCCACATGGCCAACCATGGTTTGGGTCCCGGACCTGGTGGCTTTCTTTCTCACTTTCCCCCCTCTCTCTGTCTCTCTGTTTCTCTCTGGTCAAATTGGAAAATAATAATAAATAAAGTTAAAATAAAATAATTTAAAAAAAGAATAATAGTGAGGGGTGTGGGGAGCCAAGAGCTTGGCCCATTTCCCACTCTTCCTCCTTGTCTTTTACAGGATATGAAGAACCCCTTGGGCAGGTATGTGGTTACTTAAGATAGAGTGGAGATGGGTGAGGAAGGGCTCCATGCAGGGATGGAGGGGACAATGAGACTGTGTCCACTGGAGGAAGAACAGCGTGAGTGTGCAGTACCCAGAGGCCAACCTCCCCACCGTGCTCAGAACTGTGTGCAGGGTTCCTGGGCAGATAGAGGTGCTCAAAGGTTTCCAAGGTAAGTGGGGACCCCAAATTTGGCCATCTGACCCCGGATTCTCTCTGTAGTGCATCACTCCACCTCTAGCCCCAGTATCCACAAGGAGGTCTGGAGCCACAAAAGGGGATTCCCAAACTGTATTGCCCAATGCTTAATCTTCATGGGATCGTCAATACTATGTCTTTACAGTAGTTCCACTTGTGGGATGAAGCTTGTTGAGCTGCCCAAATGATCCCTCTGTCCTGCCTGTTTCTTTATCACCATTAATATCTATACACAGTTGGGGTGTGGGTCCATTAGGTTACCCCACATTCACAGTTGGATTCAGTGGAGGGAAGGTCTCTGGGGAGTTAGGGAGAAGAGGGGAACCATTCGGCCACAAGGTACCATCTACCCTACTCACTGCCAGGGCTCTGGCCCTCCCACCCTTGACCCCAAATGACCCTCTACTTCTCCCTGGGGCCCCTGGCCTGTCTGCAGAAGATGTAGTGCCTGACCCCACTTCAGCCTACCCCTACCTCCTTCTGTATGAGAGCCGCCAGAGACGCTACCTCAGCTCCCCACCAGAAGGCAGCATACTCTGCAGTAAAGACAGGTTCATGGCCTACCCCTGTGCCGTGGGCCAGAAGACCTTCTCCTCTGGGAGACACTACTGGGAGGTTGGCATGAACCTCACTGGGGATGCACTGTGGGCCTTGGGCGTGTGCAGAGACAATGTGAGTCGGAAAGACAGGGTCCCCAAGTCTCCAGAAAATGGCTTCTGGGTGGTGCAGCTGTCCAAAGGAAAGAAGTACTCGTCAACAATGTCTGCCCCAATTCCGGTCACGCTGACTGAACCTCCCAGCCACATGGGCATCTTCCTGGACTTCGAGGCTGGGGAAGTATCATTCTACAGTGTGAACGACGGGTCCCACCTGCACACCTACTCTCAGGGTGCCTTCCCAGGCCCTTTGCAGCCTTTCTTCTGCTTGGGGGCTCCTAAATCAGGCCAGATGGTCATCTCCACAGTGACACTATGGGTGAAGGGATAGAGACACCAGCAGGGCCTGCCTTCATCTCTACAGAAAACGAGGTCCTTCAGCACATCACAGACCACCACTGGGATTCTTGGGTATCCCACTGAGAGCTATTGGTGGTTTCTCCCAAAGTCTAAATATAATGATTAAAGCAATCAAACGTTGAGACTATACTGACAGACACTCTGTTGAGGAAACTTTCAAAGCCCTTACTTTTCAAGTGGACCCATTTCTAAATACATACCTGCATACCAGCACAATGTGGTCTAGTTTTCTTTAGATATGCACCTTACCCTCCTCCATTTTTTAATGTTGCTAACTCCTTTGCCTCCCTAGTGGTTCCTATGGAGGAGATGGTCCCAGGGGTCCTACAGAAATTCTGTGCATGCTCTCATCTGTCTAATGGGTCCTTTGCAGGGAGGTGAAGTGAAAAAGGCTGTATCCCTAAAAAAGCATCAGAGGACCCACTGCAATCCCTATTGATCTCCAGAAATTGCATGCACAGGGCAAAATCCAAGGGAGGTAAGGCCCATTTGGGGGTTTCCCTTCCCTCTTCCTCCAGGACTCCTTTTCTAACACTCATTTTCTCTCCATGAACCCCTTTACCTCCTGCCCACCACCCACACAAGGTCGGGAGAATTAACAGTCCTGTAACAGAAATTGGCTTATCAAAATTCCACAGTCAATGTAGAAACCCCGACAAGGCCTGAGTCTCTGTAAAGTGGGTGCTCTGAAATGAGTACCTTACAAAGTCGTCCCACTGTGAGAATCTAGTCCCGGTATAGAGAGCAGATACTGGAGGGACACCCCCCAGTTCCTCTCCCCACCCCTCTTCTGACCTGCGGCCTGGGCGAATGCGCAGTGTGTGCGGGGTAGGAGTGGAGGGTGTCAGAGGCGCCCTAGGACTGAAGAGTGAGCACTGGGCAGAGGAGGTCGCACCAGGGTTACGGGATCCCCTACTCCTTCAGATGGCTGAGATGGCTGAGGTGCGCCCCGCCCCTTTGCCCAACTCTCACCTGGGCAGAGGTAAAGGCGCAGCCGCGCGACCCCTGAGCGAGCAAGAGCCAACGTGAGCGCGCGCGAGCGTCACCGGATGAACACGCTCTAATTCTGTTCCTCCCGCGGACCGCGTGACAGGCTGCAGCCAATCGGAGGCAAAAGCGGGTTGTTCCAAAAAAAAAAAAAAAAAAAAAAAAACACCACCAGAAAAAAAAAAAAAAGCACGCACAGTTCCTACCGCTTCCTGCTTCCGCCGCGGTTCTTCTTCCTGCTGGCGTTCCGGATCTCTGCTCGCTTGATCTTCGGAACCTCAGCGCTCCAGGAGTCTTCGCTCCCCGCGCCACTATTCCCGGGATCCTGCGCCTGCACTCCGGGAGTCCCCGCGTCCCCGGAGCCCTGAGGCCCCAAGCCCTTCGCCTCGCGTTCTCAAAACCCCTGCGTCCCCGCACGCTCCCCATAGACCGACCCGGCGGCGACGGGCGCCTCGGTTCAAGGCTCCCAACCCAGCGGAGAGGTCCGCCTGCCTCCGCTCGGTGAGCGCCATGGCAGCACCGGACCTATCCACCAACCTCCAGGAGGAGGCCACCTGTGCCATCTGCCTCGACTACTTCACTGATCCAGTGATGACCGACTGCGGCCACAACTTCTGTCGCGAGTGCATCCGGCGCTGCTGGGGCCAGCCCGAGGGCCCGTACGCGTGCCCCGAGTGTCGCGAGCTTTCCCCGCAGAGGAACCTGCGGCCCAACCGCCCGCTGGCCAAAATGGCCGAGATGGCGCGACGCCTGCACCCGCCGTCACCGGTCCCGCAGGGCGTCTGCGCTGCGCACCGAGAGCCGCTGGCCGCCTTCTGTGGCGATGAGCTGCGCCTGCTTTGCGCAGCCTGCGAGCGCTCGGGAGAGCATTGGGCACACCGCGTGCGCCCGCTGCAGGACGCGGCAGACGACCTCAAGGTGCGCTCCAGTAAACCCGGGCGCGGTCTGCCTGGGCGGGGCGGGGTCGCCAGTGCGGGCTGGGAGCTGGGTACGCGGCCTGGCCCACGGCGGCTTCGAGAGCTATGGACCCAGCCTGTCCTCGGTCTGGGCTTTCGCGAGGATGCCTGCTCAGTGTGCTGTCTGTATGGGCTGGGTTGGAGGGCGAAGGAACGCCTGAGGCTGGAAGGGGGAAGGGGTACAGTTTGTCTCAGGCCAGGGTTGAAGGCGCAGGGCCGTCGGGGAATTGAGAACTGAGAGTGCATCTTGTCCTGGACGAGTGTGGGGGAAGGACAGGATTGGTGGGGGGCTTAGGACCCACAGCCTGTCCAGGCCAGCACTTTGCCAAGCTGGAGTGCTGAGGACCTGTAGGAAAATGCTTATGGAAGGTGAAGGACCAGTTTTTGAAAGTGGAAGGCCCCTGGGGTGGAGACAGAACAACTGACTACCGGCCGGGAAGGAATTCGAGAGCTATGGACCCAGCCTGTCCTCGGTCTGGGCTTTCGCGAGGATGCCTGCTCAGTGTGCTGTCTGTATGGGCTGGGTTGGAGGGCGAAGGAACGCCTGAGGCTGGAAGGGGGAAGGGGTACAGTTTGTCTCAGGCCAGGGTTGAAGGCGCAGGGCCGTCGGGGAATTGAGAACTGAGAGTGCATCTTGTCCTGGACGAGTGTGGGGGAAGGACAGGATTGGTGGGGGGCTTAGGACCCACAGCCTGTCCAGGCCAGCACTTTGCCAAGCTGGAGTGCTGAGGACCTGTAGGAAAATGCTTATGGAAGGTGAAGGACCAGTTTTTGAAAGTGGAAGGCCCCTGGGGTGGAGACAGAACAACTGACTACCGGCCGGGAAGGAACTAGGAGCAGAGGGAAATGAGGAATGGATTTCAGCAGCCAGCCCTAGATGTGCACTCAAGGATTGTGAGGAGGGCAGAGACCTGCACTGGGGGCGGGTGCTGAAGTCCTGGGGAAGCTGGCGCAGGCCACCAGACAAGAAAAGGATGAGGGGATAGTTATTGTACTTCCCTACTGCCCCTGCTTCCCTAGGGCCTCCAAGGTGGTTGCGGATTTCTGAGTGGACTACCAGGGGCCATTTCTGCCAAAAGATATGCAAGGGCTCAGCCCACCTTCTAACTTAGATTCCTGCTTAGAAACCAAATAAACTCCATGGATAAGAGCCGTAGGGCACACACCCATCTTGAACAGCCTGGCTTTCTGCAGTCCACACTCCTTGCCGTGAGTTTGCATTTTGAAGCTGAGGTGTTGAGTAGATGGGCAGCATCTCCAACTGTGGCTTGCACATCGCATTGTGGCTAGTGGTATGTATCAGCCAAGAAGTGCATAAAATTACCAGTTTAACTGATGGTAAAATCTGTAGTCAGTCACTACCATAGAACACATTTTTTGGGCCACCAGATTCTCTCTCATTTGGATTTTAGCACAAAGGTTTAGAGTGTGTCTGAACAAGTCCAAACATGTTCCCTTGTTTTCCTTCTCACTTTGTCCAAGCAGAACTGTCCACACTGCAAACATCAGTCTAGCAGGTTTATCCTTCTGTCACTGAGCACCTTTATGGATGCAGAAAGCGACCAGCAGCTCTCCAGAGCTGACCTGTTAGGTCTTGTTGGACATCGCTTAACCCTTTCTATTGAGAGAGGGAAAAACTTGTTCTCTATCCTATTAGACTTAGCAGTTGGTGCCTGTGAATTAATTTTGCAGGCAAAAGGCAGGTTGGTGGGGAAAAGGCATGCAATTTTTTTTTCTAAAAGAGAATTACTTTATGTATTTATTTATTTAATTTCACTAGAGAGGGACAGAGTGAGAGAGAAAGTGAGAAAGCAAGTCCAGGTCCAGGACTTGAACCACGGGCGATTATGTGGGAACCCAGCGCCCTTAACCACCACACCACCTGCCAGCCACAAAGCCTTACTATTTTATTAATATTTTTAATTTCATGTGCACAAGAGCTTCAGAGAAAAGCAAATATTCCAAAGAAGCCGTCAGGCTATAGAGGGCTTCTATACACACCATTTTAACAAAAGATGATAAGTTGTGGAGAAGTTATTAGACAAAGAAGAGGGAGTTTAGGCTTCTAGGGCTAACAGAATGTGGAAAAGTGACTAGTAAACATACGGGGGGAGTTAATGGAAGATAGGATTTATTTTAGTGAGGTTTGTTTAGGAAGACTCATCTCCAGTGATTACAGTATTCTCTTCCTGGAGGAGAGCATCTTTATGGGGAATGTTTTTAGGCAGATAGACAGCAAGCTCATCCTAAATCTGTTTTTTCTTAATTGCCTTCAGCTTAAAATATTTCTGCCAAAGTGGCCTATTTTGAGGGGAGGTCAAACCTATGTAACTTATTACCCTTGCTATGTTGGGGCCTATATTAATAATTGGGAAATGCCTCAGCAAATGCTTTTTCCTGCCCCCAATATGTCAAGAAAGTTTAATTCTGCCCAGGGGATTGTTTGTCTGCTTTGCAGAGCCAAGGTGATGTGTCCTCACTAAACCCCTATGGAGGTAAGGAGACCATTGGGTAACTAAGAGCTTGCTCCTTTGCTGGCCCTTTGCTTTCATCGTGGATGGACCAGACCCAGGCTAGGTACCTCCCAGGGTGTAAGCAGGAAAGTCCCAGTGAGGCCCAATATGAGGAAGCAGCACCATGGAAAGCAGAGAGTAGAGTCCTAGTCCTCCCTACTAATGCCAGGGACATGCGAGGGGAATTTACTGTAGGACAAGAGGTAGGGAGGAGTCAAACAACCCGGGCCTGCTCCAAGACCCTGGCATCCAGACTTCTGACCACATCTGAGATAAGGCTTTCATTCCAACCTGGCCAGAGACACATGAAACCTAAATGTGAAGTGTTTGCCTCAAAGAACGCTTTTTGGCATTTCATTGTTTAAAATGCAGTTTGTGGGACCAGCAATTAATGTAATGGCTATGTTGCTGGATTCCCACATAGTCGACTGTGGTTTGAGTCGTTGACCCAGTGGCTTAAATTCACACTGGGCGTGTGTACATGTGTGCCCAAGATCCCGAGAGGAAAATGGAGGAGAAGGGATTGTGGTGTGGCCATTCCCCCTGGGAGGTGATTTCTCACTTTCTGTCTCTCTGTTTCTGTCTTTCTGGCGAGCACGCGTGCCTTATAGCAAAAACCTCTCAAAAAATAAATAAATAAATAATGCAGTTTGTGACTTTCAACATTGAAAACTGGAAAATGCTGAAGAAAATGTAAGACATTGTGAGAGAATGTGAGGCCAGGCATGTGCGTGGGGGTGTGGGGTGTCTGGTAAAAAGAGAAACCTGAGTTTTCAAGAGAAGGCTTGGCAACAAGCAGCCCGAGGACAGGGACTCAGGTCTGGGGTTCTCACCATAACCCACGGGAGAGCTGAGCCCTCTAAGGTATAACAGAGGAACTAAAGATATCCTTGGTGTGCTGTCTTTTTTTTGGACAGTCTTGTCATTTTGTATTCTTTCTGCCTCAGCCTCCTGAGTAGCTGGGACTACAGGTGCATGCCAGCCTTCCAAGTAGTAGTGTTTATGAGTGTCCACTACTATAGTTAGGCCTCCTCAGATCTTTTGATTTGCCAGCCAGTCTGGTTCTATCATGAGGCTAGGGCAAGTTAAGACTTTGGGAGCTGGACAGCTGGGTAGAACATGGATGGTGATAACAGTCGAGACTATAAGGCAATTGAAGGAGCAAAGAAGTATGCCTGGCACATGACCCATGTCCCATGCCCCACTGGTTTTGTAGTGATTTTCATAGCTCCTGTCCCGTGGGGTCAGCATGTTTAGAAGGAAGAGTAGGAGGATGAAGAAAGGGATGTTAAGACAAAAAGAGTTGAGTGGCTTGAAGACAGCAGAGCTTGGCAACTTCAGAGCCAACTTGGCAGTTGGAGATGGTCACTGTCCTGTTAGAGGAACCTGCTGTGTAGGGTAGACAGGGAGCAAAGCAGAAGCCCCTATGGTAGCCTCAGAAAGGTGGGCAGGGCCTGGGATGGGGCAGCAAGGTCAGGAGCTAGAAAGATGGCTCCATCTGAGAAAAGGAAAAACTTGGTGAATGTGGGGAAAGGGGCTGGAGGCCTCAGACTCAGTGGCAAGGGGTGGGAGGGGTTCTGCCCATGATAGGGCACATGCTTATTGGAGGGCATTGTGTCCCCGTGTTCTCTGTGTATTGATACGTTCATTTTTTATTATCCCTGCTGATGAACTTGAGATAAGAGATCAATTTAGAAAGGATGAACGTCTGTCCCCACCTGGAGGGTCCTAGTGCTGGGTTGGAAGTCTCACAGCCCTGTCTGGTCTCTGACACCTCAGGGAAAGCTGGAGAAGTCGCTGGAGCACCTGCGGAAACAAATGGAGGATGCGTTGCTGTTCCAGGCCCAGGCCGAGGAAACCTGTGCTTTGTGGCAGGCAGGTGCTGGGGCCCAGGGGTCTCTGGGGGGTGGAAGCAGCAGGCAGGGCAGGGGGATGAAGTTCTGTGCATTAGAAGCCTCAGCAAGGGACATGAACCATTCACACTCACCCTCAGCACCCCAGGGATGAGGCAGTGCCCCTGTTCTAGGAGTACCGTTGCAGCCCAGCCGGGAGCAGCTACACTTAGGTAAGAGGCTGGTCGTCACTGCTTCAGACTGGTGCCTTTGACTTCGCCTCAGGCCAGACCCGGTTAGACATAAAAGAGGGGATGGGTTCTTTCCAGTGTGAACCTGTCCTACTGTACCACAGACATTGAAACTCAGGATAAAGGAGATGAGGGGACACTGTGTGTGTGTGTGTGTGTGTGTGTGTGTGTTCCTGCCCTGCAAATGACCAGCCTGGCGTTCTGGTATGGTTAGGTGGCAGGCTCAGAAGTATATTTAGGGACTGGGAGGGACCAGATACTCAATGGGTGATGAGGGGTCTGAGAGGTCTCAGGTGGTAGATTGGAATCTGGTTAGCTGGCCCTGGTGTGTGTGGGGGGAATTGGGGTCCGCCTGGATCTGGGTGGTAGATTTAATGGTCTGGCCAGCCCTGAGTAATGAATTTGGGGTCTGAAGGTCCTGAGGGATGCTTTGGGGGTCTAGCCATGCTGTGGCATGGCTTCTGTGATGATATCTAAGTTCTTGGTGTTTAGGGCAAAGAATTGAATGAAACACACCAGTCTTGAAGAGGTAGTTTATCAAGTAGAAGTGAAAGTACATACTCCTGAGAGGTCGGAGCAGGCCTGAGCAGACAGAGAGTGAATACCCAACAGGCTCTGGCAGTTGCATTCTGCAAGGCTTATAATTTTTAAATCTCGGTTGTGTTGGTTGATCATTGGCTGGACCAGTTGTTCTTATTTGATTGGCTCTACCAAATGTGGCTGGGCCCACTGATCTCTTATTAGCTGTATCAAATGTGGCCTATCAGCCACGCATCCCCCACTAATCTCCTGCCTACATTACTTGGTGTGGGGAATTTTCTGCCCTGGGTTTGCTATCTAGTCACATAGGCAGGTGCTCCAGCCCCCTTACTTCCATTTCTTGCTTTCTCCTGCCTCCGTCATCCCTGGGGATAAGTTTGGATTTTGACTGGCTTCAGGAAGTGGGTTTAGGTGGTTGGCTTTAAATGGCGGATAACCCCAGGTGGGTAGGGGAGGGACCGAGTGGTGGATTTGGGATCCAGGAGGTCCCGTGGGTAGATTTGGAGGTCCAGTCATCCCTAGGTGGTGAATTTGAGATCTGAGTGATAGATTCGGAATCTGGCCAGCCAGTCTCAGCCTCAGTTGTTCTCTCCCCTTGGTGCCTGCAGAAGATGGTAGAGAGCCAGCGGCAGAACGTGCTGGGGGAGTTCGAGCGTCTGCGCCGCCTGCTGGCTGAGGAGGAGCAGCAGCTGTTGCAGAAGCTGGAGGAGGAGGAGCTGGAAGTGCTGCCCCGTCTGCGGGAGGGCGCAGCTCGCCTGGGCCAGCAAAGCGCTCAGCTGGCGGAACTCATCGACGAGCTCGAGGGCCGCTGCCAGCTACCTGCACTGGGGCTGCTGCAGGTGAGTGGGGTGCAGGTGCGGACCAAGGGCTGCTCCATGCCAGCCACGTCACCCACTCCACTGGCCCCTTGGTGGTGCTAGGGGTGGGCACATGGCAGACTCCCAGGGACAAGGATATCTGAGGGATCGAGAACAAGAAAGCGCAAGACACTTTGGACGAAGGTTGTCCAGGGCTCAGACACAGTTGGCAAAGGCTGGACATGCATGTCTCTCACCTGTGGAATGCCACAGCGAGGGCTTGGACAGGTGCTACATCCATTTACCTCCCAGAACCTATGTGTAGAGAAAAGGAAAACTGGTTTTCTCCATAGACTCAAACAGATGGCATTTCTTATGGCCTTATGTACTATCACACCATGCATCTTCCCATTCCTCAGGTTAACCAAGTGAGGCTTCCTGTTGTGGCAGAGAGTAAACACTTGCTTGTACCTGGGCCTTGGTGCCCCCCTCAAATCAGAATTACGGAGTGCCTTCCCCTCTGGCCTGGCAGCAGGTCAGTTGATCCTGGAGAGTGACTCTCAGCTCCGGAGCCAGCGCACCCTGCTGCAGCCTCCATGCCTCAGTCTTTCCACCTGTTCAGTGAGCATTCGTGAAGAATGAAGGGATTACTGTGCTGCGAGAACCCATGTGGGTGGGGGTGTCTACTGTTATCCTTCCTCGGGATTTGGCTGGACTTTTCATGCCACAGATAACTGTGAAACTGTTCTGTGCCCAGCACAGTATAGAACAAGCAATTAAGGAAATGGACCCCCTGGGCACTTCTGGCTCCTATGTAGGTGAGGCCGTACCTTCCCAAGCACAGCCACCAGTGAGGCAGGGGGTGCCAGCCCTAGGAAGAACCAGCCATACTGCACAACCAGGAGATTCCTGTAGGAGGTGACCTGGTAGCCATTATAGGAATTTGGAACTTGACCCTTGGCCTTTACTAAGCTGCCAAATGCCTAGCAAACAGGAAGGACACTCTGCAAGTGCCTAAAGAAAGAATTGAGAGACATTGGCAAAGAGATGAGGAGAGGGTTCCTGTGGTCAGCAAAGGAAGCTGAGGAAGAGGATCCTCCGAGGAGGGCAGAGGGAGTGATGTTGGAAAAAGCAGGAAGGTTTTAGAGGATGGATTGATTCTTGTCTCAGCCTCAGCTGAGACATTACAGCAAGAGGGTGAGTTCAACCATCCTGCCTGCATTTCATGCCCTTGAACAGTCACCTGCTGCCAGTGTGCCTGTACCTCCTGGCCTGTGGCCTTTGCCATCTGTCTCAACTGAGTTCCTGCTGCCCAAGTTTGACCTGGCTGCTAGGCTTCAGGCTGGACCCTTCCCACCTCTCCCCACTTTCCTCCCTGCTGGCCCTTAGCTGCCCTTTGGCTATAGCTGAGCAGCAGCAATGGGTACATGAGAGCCGTGTGCTGGTTGAGGGTGGGGGTTACTTGTGGGTTTTTACCCTCAGTCCCTGATCAGGCAGGAGGCTTACAGTGGGGGTGCCCAGGCTGGGTTCCTGACACCCAGGGGCTCATTCACTGCCCTGTGGACAGATATGAGGCTTAGGTGACTTCAGGAACCCACCTTCCAGGGTCCCAGTTGTCCCAGAATCAGGAGTCCTGATTTCCCCCTCCTGTAGCCATAGCTGTAGTCAGAGTGATTTTTCTGAATGGATATGTGTCTAAGTGGCCATCTTTTCCTGAGGCCGAGGATCTCCTCTATACCCTAGACCCTACCCCAGGCAAGGAGGGCCCTCCTGTGATGTCTCTGCCCCAGGCCTTATGACAACCATGTCCTACAGCTTCCACTTGTCTCCAGATGACCTGGAGGTGGGCCACCCACCTCAAGTAAAACAGCTGTGCATAGATTGTTTACGACGACATGGCTCAAACCAGGCTCTGTGTACCCCAGGCCCTTTGCATATACCTCTCTTCTGGCCTGCACAGTCGCTCCCTATATGTGCCAGAAAATTCTTCTCATGCTTCAGAAACTGACCGAAAGTCTCCTTTTCCTTGAGGCCTGGCACGTTTCATTGCCTCCATCCTACCCACTGGCAGAATTAACTAGCATATGTGAAAATTGTCCTTTGCTGTTTCTCTTGCCTGCAGTTGCTGCAGACTATTTTTTGTCTCTGTCTCCTGGCCCAGAATCTGGTGGACAGTGGGTTTTGCTGAACATAGGGTGAGATTTGTATGACAATGAGGGTTGGGTCCTTGGTGTGTGCTGAAGACTATTCTAGAGACCAAAAAAACAAGGCTCCCAGGAGCTAGTCGATAGCTGTGCGTGTTAGTCGGTAGTGTGGACGGGGCAACTTCAAACAACGGAAATTTATTATCTTACAATTCTGGAGACTAGGAGTCCAAGATCAAGGAGTCAGCAGGTTTGGTTTCTTTTGAGGTCTTTTTCTCTCTCCTACTTTGCTGGAGGGCACGAGCACTTGCCAGAGAGAGAGACAGGGAAAGA